AGGCCACATAAGCATTAGGCAAGATATACTGTGAATTGTGACATGTGATTGCTGCATGTTATGAAATCACAGCCAACTCTGCCTTTGTGACGCAAATGTGGGTTCACAGTCTCAATGGGCAAGTCCCTTCTGTGGGGTGGTCTCGCCCAGAGCTGTTTCCCAACCACACAGCAAGAATGCAACCCCCCTCACCCCCATAGAGGATCTCACTATGAAGCCCTGGATGTCCTGGAACTCACTCTGTACACCAGACTGGCCAAGAACTCAGATTGTCCTGGCTCTGCCTCCCGAGGGCTGGGATTAAAGGTGTGCACCACCTCCTGGCTGTGTGTGTGTTTTAAGACTGGGTCTCATGCAGCCCAGGGTGGCTCTGAACTCACTCTGCAGCTTAGCATTCAGCTCTTGATCCCTGATCCTCCTGCCTCCACCTTCCAAGTACTGGGATTACAAGAGACACCAAGCCTGGCTGGAGCCACCGACCACTCTTGCTGTGCTCTGGAGAATCTGAGGGTCTCCCCGGCATGCAGCATGACATCACACTAGGCATGGCTGCTGTCTCACTGCCTCACACCTCAGCCCAGGACCGAGATGGCCGCTATTCGGATGGAGGCAGGGGAGGGGCAGGGTGGGACTAAACACTGGAGAGGGGAGCCAGACCCTGAGTCCCAGCACTGCCACATCACTTCCTCTGCATCCTCTCGTCCACAGTAAACCACAAGGCCAGGCCGCAGGCAAGGGACATAGATGCCCACCTCCTGAGGTGCCTGCATCTTAACTTTCGCTGCGGACTTCCTGTTCCTTGCTTCCTGCTGGGAAGCCCGTGTCTGTTCTGCTTCTGAGACACAGGAGGCTCCAAGTCCTAGATGCGCAAACGTCTCACGGTGCCCACTCCGTGCCCACTCTGTTCTTCCTCAGGCCCTGTTTATTCCCTGACCACCACCAACACCCACGAGCTCTGTGTGAGCCTGGCTGTCTTGGTAATGCCCAGAGCACCCGCGCCGATGGCAGTCCCGATCGGGGCTTATGTCCTTGCCCTCCCACCCTTCCTGCCTGCCTTTTCCTTCCTGCTGTGTGCAACCCACCCTGTTCTGAAGGCCGCCCTCCGGCTGTCTCCCCGACACCTCCTCTGGCACTCTGCCCTCTACTGTTGGCTTTCCGTTTGCTGGCGGCTTCCTGTGAGAGCCTTTGCTGCTTGTCTGGAGGCCTCAGCTTGGTGAGCTCCCACAGCACTCACATGGCTGCCACACAGAGCACTTTGAGGGGCAGAGCAGAGCTGGAGCAATGGTGACGGGGACTGGATCCGTGGCGTGTGACATGGTGATGTGTGCGTCACTCAGGATATACTGAGCCACGCTCCTGTGAGGAAAGGAATCTCAGCATCACAGGGACTGCAGTTTCCTCGTGGCATGTGCTCACTCCAGAGGAAGGGAGTTGTGGTGAGTCACGCACTGCTGCCACACGTCCAGTCACATGTCACCGGTCCAGAACATCGTACCAGCATGCAGCTTTGCAAGAGTGCAGTGGTCTTTGCTGCATACCAGAAGGAAAACCGGAGTCTTCGTTGCTTCATTACATTTTATTTTTATTTGTGTGTGTGCACGTGTGTGTGTGTGTGTGTGTGTGTGTGTGTGTGTGTGTGCGCGCGCGCGCGTGTGCGCGCGCATGTAGAGATCAGAGGACAGCTTACAGTAGCCCATCAGGTTTGGTGGCAAGTCCTCTACCCACTGAACCATCTCATTGGTCTGTTGTACTTCTGAGACCAAGTCTCGTGTAGTTCAGGCTGGCTTCAGACTCACTGTGTAGCGAGGATGACCTGGAACTTCGGCTCCCCTTTCCTCTACCTCTCCGGTGCTGGGATGACAGTCCTGTTCCACTAGCCATTGGATGAGATGCTGAGGGGCAAGGCTGGAGCGTTAAAAATAGTAGCAAGCATTCTGCCAATGGGGCGTCTCCAGCCCTAAGAAATGCAATCTCAGAGAATAACTCTGGTGATTGTCACATAGGGCACTTGCCCTGACATGCTGCTGCATGTCTTGATTCATTGGTTCTTTTT